CCCCCTGCCACAGGCAGGAATGAATGCTGGGTTCATCACACCCCAGACAGGCGATCGTCCAACCTCTTGAATTTGCCCAAGGTAGGAGCGAGGACCACTTCCCTGGGAAGTTGGTTCCAGATTTTGGCCACCCTAACTGTAAAATATTGCTTTCTGATCTCTAACCTAAACCTATTCTCCATCAGCTTATTACCATTGAGCAGTTTCAGCTCTTTAGAGGAGTAGGGCACCCTAGTTCCCTGTGACACCATGTAATACTAACATTGCAAGTTTAGTTCAGCCCATAGTTCAAGCACATTTTAACAGGTCTCTGTTTAGTCTTTGTGTTGGCTTTTTGGCTCTAAGTGATCTTCTCAGTTTCTCTGCATTCTCCTTATTCTCTGAATCCTTATTGGTTCACTTCTTGTTTGGTCTCCTTGTTCAGATGTCTCTACTTCTTTCTCACTTTCAATCTCCTCTATCATTTCATGTTGCATTTATGTTAGCTCTGTTTCCTTTGGTGAATCTCGCGATGGCTCTTCTTTTCTCACCTTTATGAACTGTAAGTATCATCTGTTCCTTCTTAATACCTGTCCTTGCAATGTGACTACTATATAGGATCTGGGAGCTACTTGCCGGGAAACTAGTGCTTTTCATTTCTACGTTCATCCATCTGAAATAGGAACCATATCTTTGTTGTGCAGTTGTGGTAACTCCCTGGAACCTCTTACATAGTACTATTTTTGCTGGAGTTCGTTGAAATTTTTTATGTTTTCACATCTTGCTTTTCATTCTGATGAGCATCTTCTACAAGATTTGGCAGCCTTGTTTTGAGTTTCCTGTTAAACAGTATTTCTGCTGGGAACAATCCATGTTACATGGATGTTGCCCTGTAATTTAAGTGACAGGGAAACATCCGTGTGTGAATCTATAGCTTTTTCAACAATTTCTTCACTGTTTGTACTCCATTTTCCACAAAACCATTGGATTGTGGATATTTAGGACTTGAGGTCTTGTGATGGAATCCATACTTTTTTGCAAAATCTTTAAACTCAAGACAGTTGAATTGAGGTCTGTTGTCTGTTCTCACAATTTGTGGAATCCCATGTCTAGCAAAAATCGATTTGATGTGAGTTATGACATGGTTTGCTGTGGTGCTTTTGAGTGATGCAATTTCAGGATAGTGAGAATAATAATCCAGAATTAATACATAGTTTTTCCTGCATGTATGAATAAGTCAGTGCCCACTTTATACCACAAAGCTACAGGCTCCTCCATGACCTTCATGGGCTCCTTCCTTTGTGCTGCTCTATACTTTAGGCACTTTGTGAAAGCCTTTACAGCATCTTTTATGTCATCATTTATATTGAGCCAATATAGAGCACCCCTTGCTCTCCTTTTATATTTTTCACTACCTAGATGTCCCTCATATATTCTGTTTTACATGTCTTTCTTTAGCATT